AATTATACAGGTTACTTTTTTTCAAGAGAATTAGGTTTTTGTTGAACCGATTATCTGAGAAAAAGGTTAGAAATAAGTTATTCTTATCAATATCGCGGATACATAAAAATACAGATAGATGTACATACGTGCAAATATACACAGTGATTTATTTCACTCGAAGCATACAATTTCACTTTATTTAACTTCTCATTATGTAGTTAAAGTGAGTGATTTTAAAAAATCTTTATCATGATCTGTCTCCACCTGTAAACATGTGAATCATGCTTAAATTTAAAAAAATTGATAAGTTTAGCAGCTGGAAAGTACATGAAGTTATTTAAATCCTTTTCACAGATAACTCAAATACTTTGTGTAGTCAGAAATGGAAATTTATTAACGAAAAAAAACCACATTGTAAGATGACATCAGTTTGAGAACCTTTAGAAGTAAAAAGTCGTATTCATTGGGTTCGAAAAAGTCAGGTAATAGAACAGTTACTTGCTGGTGAAACTGGCTGACAGCTGCGATATGTATATTGCAAACTGGCAGAAGTTGAAGTCCATGGGCCATTGGAGAAGCCGTCGGCGGCTGATTGATCTACAAACTGACCTTGTGACCGGAAAGTCCTGGGTTTGAACCCCTGTGGTGGGTGCGTGCCTCTGAAGAGTCCTGAACCAGATCGGAAAGGCTGCCCAGTGCTCCCAAGTTTTCCAATAGCTTTCTAGCTGGTGTCAACTAGTAGTCAAACCTGTAACCAATCAAGTCTCTGCATACGAACACTTGAAAAGAAGACCGGTAAAACATTTATTAGTACTTCAGTGTAAATATTGGTATGAACCTAGATCAGTTAGAAATCACTGATTAAAAACCAAGGGGGCACTTGATAGCAAAGTGGGTACCTCGAATGTCGGGGTTCAATCCCCAACATCTTAGTGGGCGTGCATCACTGAAAAGTCTCCAACTATGACAAAACAACTGTCTAGTGCCCCTTGTTTTTCAGTGATTCTTTAACTGATTTAGCTTAGTGATGTAGTGAATCTGAATTCGGCAAAGTTCAAATATCATAGCAAAAATCGCAGTGACCTTGAATAGCTAATCAGAATTCAGACGAAAAAATCCTCTTAATCGTTAAAATGATGTATTAAAAACACGACAAACATAATATTGCACTAGATAATTGTCTTTTGTCTGTTGTAAGAATGTATCCCAGTAACTACAAGAATAATCAATAGAGACATCATAAAATGCGCCACAGGCGTGTGTATCTAGATAACCGAAGACTATAATACTTTACGATTCATTGGTATTCCTAACCGGATCCTGCAGTCTACCCCTAATTCCAACCTTATCCCTAGACCCTAACATTAATCCCAAATCCTAACCTTAACCTCAAATCGTAGCCCTACACAACAGTTATAAATTTACAGAAAAATCTGTCTAGAGAATAAGTAGAATACTGTGCCTACCCTTACCAGATCCATAAGAGCGTTCCCTAAAACTGATTGGTTCTTGAAAGTCAATTTTTGGTAAACCTTGACTTTGCCTTTGCTAATTTAACTTCTCCTGAATATGCACTTATTGATTTTCGATAGCGAAAGATTACTATCCTTTATTTTTTCCTGGGGTTTCAAGTAGAGCACTTTGTTCTTTGTCACCATTTCCGGCTGGTGTGTAAGTACATTAGAGTTTACATCTCTTCTTCACATGTTCTCCTCAAGGTCGCCTTAGAACCCACATCTGACTGGTCGATTCTCATTTAGGTAACACTCATAGGCTTATGTGTCATAACTTTGTCCACAGTCATGTGTACCCAAATAGCCACCTTGAATCTTTTAAACACCAAAGAAAAACTCTGAATGACCTAAATAACTGGTGTCACATGTTCCAGCTATTTCAGGCTGTGATATTGTACAACATTCTTGACTGTTTTGACTCTGTTGCTTAGGTCGTCAAGGCAAATGTGATGGCATTACTGGAGATGGATAATTCTATGTAGGCAGTGAGCGTGAAATAATTAAAGCCACAGCATAGCTTGTGCTTTTAATGCATAGATTCGACACCATTATGGTGTGACAGCACGAGTTTGTCCAACATACACATCTGCCGATAGGTGACCGATTATCTTACTAAGTTCAGATCGGTAAGAGTGATACAACTTACTAGGCATACCAGAATGTTTAATTTTCCCTTATTTTCAATTAGGTTAATAATTTAAAAATCAAAAATTATTATTATTGGTCTCGATTCTCTCGCAGTATTGATTCGTTTGGTTTTAATCGATGTAGAGTGTTAGGGTTTGATCTGTTTAAGACAGTAACTTGAAAGGTTTAACTGCTTTCCATTTGCTAATCAAAGTGAATGTTCAGGAGTCATATCTGACCTGAAATGTCATTGTGAATACCAAAACAAATTTGAATCAGTATATGAGCTAGTAGTTTACTATTAGAATGGTTAATTACCCCACTAGAGGTCTAGATTAGACTCACTCACTCTTTGTTCTCTGGCAGGTGGTAAGTCCGAAAAGCTAGATAGCTGAACGTGAAGCTATCAATCCTGCCGCATTACAAAGCAGCACCATTGCTACAGACGACTCAAGCCTGAAGCTCAAAGATCTGTGTTCCCCTAAGTGCGCAGGTAAGAGAAACAAAGGAAAACACTGGGACCTAGAGATGCAGAGCATAATCTTAGAGTAAATAACAAGCTTTCTGAAAACTGTTTATGATCACTGTACGTTATGAGTAAGTGCTAACAGGTAATATACCGGTGTTAAATAGTAATTCTAGCCAGGTGATAAGTACTATCCAAAAATAGATTTAGTTTCATTCACGAACGACATCTCCAGTCTATATAACAACTAATAAAAGAACTGTAATTTCTAAATATTTTGAACGTGCATACCTAAACGATACACTCTGTCTTCTTCCTCCTACCATCTTACTATTTTCATCGGTCTCTCTGAGGTTAATTACATTCAAACACCAATTAGTAAAGGAAAAATTTCCTTTTCATCGATTTCTTCAGGATAATTAATTATTGAAGATAATTTCCTAGACCTGCATCGCATGATTCAGATAAAACTTCCAAGAGGTGTATCAGAATAAGTAGTTAGCAGATTACATTTCAAACTATGTCCATATGATTATTAGTATTCCTTTAATTCCCAAGTGGAGCATGAGACTTCAACAAAACATCTCCATTTGGTCTTGTTTTCTTCGATCCTCTTCAGATTGCTCCATGACTGTCCATAAGCTCTCGCCTCCCCCACATACAATTTCCTCTATGTCACCCTCAGACCCATACCCAAAATGTCGTTCCCCGCCCCTGTTTTATTAGATTGGTGGCCTGGCGAGTAACTTCACTCAGTGGTCTCATCAGCTCGTATCCTATCCACCTCCATTCCCTTCAACATATTTGCTAAGCAATAGTTTACTGGTTGGTTTGTTGCTGGCAATCTGGTCTTTAGTATCAAAGCAGCGAAGACAGTTGTTGATGATAATCTGCAAGCTGCTGGAACTGCTTTTCGTGCAATGCTAAGTTGCTGAATCCTACAGAATCACTGGCATGACATTAGTGACGGAATTTCAGATCTTACCCTGTTTGTTTGGTTGTAGCAGATTTCCGCAGTGATTGCAGAGTAATAAATGTCTGGCTTGCTTTTCGGATCCCACCTTTTACATCACTATATGTTTCACCATTTTAGTTGAAATGTTACCTGACCAGATAAGTGGAAGATGTGTTTACAAAAGTATACATGAATATAAAGCTAAAATGAACTTCAGATTCTGAAATGAATGATGATGAATAGTAATCAATGTGTTCTGCTTAAGGCTCATAATTAATGTTCTTAGTGATTTTTATTCAATCTGATCATAAAATTTATATGAAACAGGAAGAAGCGATGAGGTGGAATGTTGTGTGTTTGTGTGCGTATGAATGTGTCAGTAAGTAAGTAAAATAGGCTGTATTAGGAACATAAAAGGTTTATTCATATAAGAGTGGAGATACATAAATGAATGATTCAGAGCAAATATTCCTGGAAAAACGATAAATAAGAGAAGTAGGGGTGAAATGTATGCATGGAGAATGAAAGGTCATACGTGAAATGTTTGAAATGATTCTGTGCTTGTAAATAGCAGCTGGACTTACTGCTTCGCATACAAAGTCCTAAACCCAGTATTTGGTAGCCTATGATAATTTACTGGTTACACGATAAGGAATAGAAGAAAATTAATCCTCAGTTCTGGCCATATCGTGTGTTTACACAAGGTGTGCTCTTACGGAGCTGTCAGTGTTTTCATCAGACCTTTACTTAGCAACACAGTTAGGTGTTCCTTAGCACAGAGAGTCAAATTCCTAGAAGAACCGCCTATGTAACTAATACCTTCAGTAGCGGTTGGATTAACAGATGCAGAAGGTGTCTGGCCTCGGTCCATATACATATATGCAAATATATGTACAATACATGATGATTTACGTTGATGCTTCGACGACAGAATCCTCATCACCCATGCCTGTGGATCAGGATACAATCCCCAGCTAGCGCACACCCTCACTACCCTTAGTTGGCTGTTAGCCTAACAAAGGGGGAAGACTGGAGGTTGGGTTAGCACTTCTACCCTTTAAAAACGAAACGAAGGCTATTGAAACTTGGAAACCTGTGTGCCACTTGGAAACCAAAGGAGTAAAGTAAGGAATAGACTGATATGATGAATGAGGATGAGACAAAAATCTGTGCTGCGAAAGTATTTGAAATATTCGCCTTCAATTCTCTATCCTGAAAGTATACAAGCTAGTATACGAGGACTGAATGTTAAGTCAAGTGATTATATTACTGGAGGCACCACGGATAACGCAAAGCGTATTTGAATCCTACCGCTGTACAGACTCTCATTCCACTTTCATTCATCATCCTAACACTGCCTCAGATATTCACCCCATCAGTGTTTTTATTTTTTCAATAATGGCTTTTCAGTTGACCTATCCACTACCTTTCTGTTTTATTCTTCTATATATTTTAGATGTATGCCTAAAACGGGAGTGTCGATTTGGAGCAGTCTGTGAAGAATGGTTATCGAAAGAAACAAACCAGTATATTGGTGTATGCGTTTGTCCAACATTAATAGATATGGCGAAAAATCATATGTGCAATATGAACAGTGGTACAATTTGTACAACAAATGGTTTATTTTACCTAAATGAATGCGTTATGCTACATCAAGCGTGTTTAAAACAAACGGAATTGAAACCAATGAATTTGAATATATTTAGTAGAATATTATCTCAAAGTGATTGTAGTCAATTAATTGAAAGTAAGTAATTTGAATGGTTTACTTATCAAGCAGTTATGTTTTAATTGTTCTCTAGGTGATATTAGTTGGTGGTCAAAACTGAAAGACGAGTCAAATCCCATCAAATTGACTGTAGTGACTGCCTACAGGAGGAAATTACTCGGAGTTTATAGTCAGAAGCGAGGTCCATCCAGTCAGGAATGAGGAGAAATACTAGCCGATAATACTGGCTGATGGTCACACCAAAGTCAAAGATTGGTAGAAATTAGAATTCACGAGCTAGCTGTTGATTCAGGTCTCAATGGCTAAAAATGGTATAGAAGCTTGACTTGTAACAGAAAAGTCCTGAGTTCGAACCCCTGCGATTGCTTTTTAGTGGCAATAATTTCCAAACTAGAATAAAGCGGTTGTCCAGTTACATTTCTGATTGATCATAATTAGAATACAGTTTCATCTTATTTGAACCTCAGAAGCTGTTGATGTTCCCTTGTGAAACTTCAAATCAGGAGCCAAGGTTATGAACAATGAGGTGTTACTCACTGAGATAGTGAGCCAAATAAACCACTACGTGTGCAGTGGGTATCAGTAACTAGTCATTGAAAGTATTTTCTGAGTCTCCCTTTTATAGTTGCTGTAAATGAAGGGAAGTACTCTACCTCTCAACATAATCACTACAATAGCACAGCTTCTTATGGGATTTCCCTTGAATTTTCACCAAGAGAAACAAAGAAAATTCGTAAATAAAGAGAGTGTTTCCTTGGGTTTCTAGTGGAACATAGAGCTTCAACTGCACCTCTCCACTTGCTCCTGTCCTCCTTCTGCTCTACTTTCACCTGAATCCATCTTAGTCCATACTCTTCCAACTCCTCTTCACACGATCTCCTCCATGTCGCCCTTGCACTGACTTCACACTCGCCGCGTGCTTCCCTTTCCGGTTCCACTCGAGCAATGGCCTGACGCGCGGGCGATGTCACCCAGCGGCCTCCTCAGCGAGTGTCCATTCCATCTCCACCCACTTTCTCCTGCATATTTTTTGGTTGGCGATTGGTTCTTGTGTTGTTTGTTTGTTCCCATAGTTTCTTCTTGGTGATTCTTTCCGACCCGGCCTTCTGATCTTCAGTATGGAGTGAAGACAGTTGTTGATAAATGTCTGCAACAGACTGTCAGTGGAAATATTCTTTGTGACCCACCCGCCAAGTTTCTGATGCGTATAGAAGAACTGACTGACTTGACGTTTGTATCGAAGATCAGACCGATGCTGAGTGACAAAGATTTCCAGTTTCTCGCCTTCCCGATTCTCGCTCGATTTGACATCCTCGTCCGTTCCTCCTTTGGCTGATACAATGCTTCCTAGATAGGTGAATGAAGTAACCTCTTTCAAATCCCTCCTGTTGATTGTGATTTTCACTGTATGTTGCTGCTGCTGTTGTTGTTTTTGTTGGTTGGTTGGTTGGTTATTTTCATGACCTCCGTCATGTTCACCTATGTTCACCTGGAGTCCTTTCTTCGCCGGCTGCTTCTTCGACCAGTTCGTCGGTTTTTGCTTGTAATTCTTCGATTTTGTGTGACGTCAAGCATAAATCATCCACGTGCGAAATCCAGGTCTTCTAGATTCTTCACGTCGGCTCAGGGTATCTCTGTCTTCTCGTTTCTCACTGTCTGATACATAGTGCAGTCGACGAAAATTGGGAATATCATTGATATCTGACTCCTGTGTTTACTCGAAACGCCTCGCTGAGTTTTCGGTTGTGGATCACTTGACATGTTCCGTTGTCATACAGCTGTTTAATAAGGTTGATGAATATTTGGGGTACGCCGTAATACTCGAGTAGTTTCCAAATTACTTCGCGGTCAACGCTGTCTGTCGAAGGCCATCTCAAAGTCAATGAAGTTGAGTTAGAGGTTTGATTGCCATTCCATGCTTTGTTCTGTGATGATGCGTAGAGTTGCAATTTGGTCAGAAGACGATTTGCATTTCTTAAATGCAGCCACCTTGTCCTGGTCGGAGTTCTGTATCCAGTGCGTTCTTCATTCTCTCCAGGATGATGAGACTCAGGATTTTACTTGGCATCGACAGGAGGATGATTCCTCGCCAGTTCTTGCAGAGTGGGGCCTAAGTCGCCCTTCTTTGGTAGTTTCACAAGGTAACTTTCCCCCCAGTCAGTAGGCACCTTTCACTCTTTCTAGGCCTTTTGCAATGATGGAGTCAGCATATCTGCTGTCGTCTCTGGGTCCGATTTCAGTGCTTGCAAGAATTAAAATGCCTACTTAACAAGTACAATGTCATCAAATTCAGTCACCGCCACACCACTAACCCTACTTCCAGCCTTCACTGCTGTACACAGTATGATATAGTTCTTCTTGAAAATCCCATGGAATAATGAGAGGAGACAGTTGGGAAGAATGGGGAAAATATATGCATAATTAAATTGCGAGAGAAGAGGTTGAGTTCTGATGCCAGTGATACTCATCTTCTCTATGTAGTAGGTCAAAGGAAAACCTTTTTAGAATTCGACAAGACATGAGACGACTAACAGGAATTCAAAGAGGAAGTGATGTTAGGATGAAAGATATTCAATTTATTTCCTATCATAGTGCCATCAATAATACATGCATCATGAGACTGTATCAGTCCACTCAAGTCTTGTTCTCGACTGAAGCTGAAGCCAACAGTGTGAAGTCTGAAGGAATTTAGTTTAAGACCATTTACTTATCTAAGCGTCCCAAAGACTCCATCCAACAAGGAAATCCACCCTTTTCAGTTTTTCTCAAACGCATAGTCAAGGACTTCTTGGATCCATTCTATGTGTTAATATGATCATTCATAACTTTTTCGAATCCACTACTATGTCAGCTAACACTGTAAGACGAGGAACGAGGAGGATTAGCATCCATGGCACATGTCCTAGTCATCTCAGTTAATGCAACTTCTCAGAGACTAGCTATTCTACTTACTTCTCCCGTTTACCCGAAACAATCTACGCCCAACGCTGATATTACTCACCATATTATTTCAACTTAGCACCTACACTTCCGCTTTTTAGCTACTTTAATCAATATTAAAAAGTAATTATGCGTCAATTAAACTTTGTCTGTTTATTTAGTAAAAAAAATATAATTCTTCCCAACACGATGAAAAAAAATTAATAATAATAATTCAAGTATTTTATAATATTTCCCTCTGGGAGTTTCTGCCCTTGAAATTTAATTTCAAAACAACAAAAATGAAACGAACATTACTCAAAACATACAAGAAGTGTGGGGAATGATTCCATGTAGGAACAAAAAAAAGTAGCTCAATTTCCTGTCATTCAATGAAAGATGAGTAATGAAATTACAGAATATCTGTCTGTCAGTTGAGAATTCAACATCTGGCATGAATTACACCTACCGTTTACTGGCACTGTGCTTCCTCTCAAACACCCACCCACCCTCACGCACACACCATCTCTTTCCGTGATCACGATAAACGGTTTTTTGTTTCGTTTAGGGTGGAACATTTGAAACATTATTATGTATATTAAAAAAGGATGGCGAAGGATAAAAAAGATGACTAAAATGATCACTATCGATTGTTACTGTCTTTATTGTTCTCTTTCGGTTCCGTGTGGAACATAGGGCTTCAACAAGGCATTTCCCTTTTTGTTAAATTTTCTGCTGTGCTCTCTAGATGGCTCCTTAATCGTCCATATTTTCTTATCTCCTTCTCACTCAATCTCCTTCATGTCAGCTTCAGACCATGTGTAGCTTACTAGCTCGCTAGTTACCCAGCGGGTCTCAATCCTGAGGAAAGGAGAAGGACTGGGCGTAAGGCTAGCGACTCTGCCCCGAAAAATCAATCAAACTGCTACAGGAAATTCAACACACAAGAAAAATATTAAAAATACAGAAAATTTTAAAAACAAACTTCATTTTTGCTGGAATTGAAGGGGCAAAGTGATGCAGGCTCGTGAAAGCCTTCTGGAAGCCAGTCAGCCGATGTGTTTTTATTCAATGAAAGCAAAAACAAGAATAGGGACATGGGGTGTTCGTACAACGTACAAAGCTGTGAAGTCTCTAGGTAGATTCACATTAACTGATAATGATACTTAAAAAATGTGTACGTAGACACACTGAGTGTATATTAAAACTTATACTTCTTCGATACATTCATGATTTATAACTAGTCACAACGATTTCTTGCGCATTAGTTTTCACAAGTTGTTGGTTGTCAGTTTGGGAACATAAGACTTCAAGCTTCAATGTATCGGCAGCCAGTGGAATGCTAGCCTTACCCCGACCATTCTTCTTTCCAGGGCTTAGTATTGGTTAAGTGAGGCATAGTAGTGGTTAAAATCGGCCTTGGACCACGTACAACGCTGGCCATCACTCTACTACTAAACTGCCGGCAAGGTCTATAAGTGACTTATTTCGTTCTCTAAACTGGTGAACCGTGTCATAATGCGTATAAACTGGTAGGGAGTGCCAAACCATATTTAACTCTTAGGAAGACTTAATGTCTCTCCATTTGATAGTGAAAGTTTGCTTCTCTTCTCGTATTTAAACCAACTTATCCAGCTAGCTGTACAACTCATGGTAACACTGTACCACAAAGTCTGGTAACTGCATATAAACACTTGAAAGACAGACTTTATCAAGGACTTACGAATCAGTAGTTACTTTGAACTGAGGTGCTGATTTGTAAACCTAATGCTTTGAGACGACTCATTTCTCTGAAATGAGTCTAACCGGGTGCATAATCGACGTTTCCCTCCCTGGACAAGGGAAACGACAGTTTGGTACTCAGGTCACAGTGATCAGCTGGTAAGCTCTAATGTTTTTGTGTGATTGGCCTTCGACTACTCACATAAGTCAGTAGTATATACGATTTCGTGAACGATTATGGTTTTTACTACCAGAAGTTTACTCATTGATTTCTGCTGTCACTCAGGTTTCATGAAATTTTACCTAAGTATCAGAGTCACAATACTGGTTCCCCTGTAGTAACTAATTTGTATATTCATTGCAGTTTGACAGGAGGTGAACTGTGGTCTCGAATAGCCTAGTGGTAGCGTCTGTGGTGGTATCATTTGTTGATGTGAATAAAAACCTCAGAAAAGAGGTAGTAAGGTAAAAAAAAATACGAAGCCTAAGCTCATGCATTTCGGCCGGTCGTCCTAGGCCATCAAGCAATACAAACTTCATTAATGGAAACAAAACACGTGGATCCGCGAAGAGACTCTTTTTGGCAAATTCATTTTTCTTAGCTGTACCATTGCAAATATACATGTGTTATTTTGTATGTATGTGTACATTAAGTTTGTCAAACAAAATTACAATTGGTTAAGGTTACGTTAGCTAAACAGGTGAAGGTTGGTAATACGGGTCAAGAAAATTAAGTCTTAATGAAACTAGGGTAGTAACAAAGGTGATGAGTTGTCACAAACAGTTGTCAGAAGAAGTTATTGTATGGAGGATTTAATCATGAGCTGACATCAGTTAGAGAATTAAATCCTCCATACAATCAAACCAAATCCCTACAAAACCAACACTTGAAAAGAAGTTATGTAATAATATGAATACTTTGATGAGTGAGTTTTATTCAGGATGCACATAGGAACAAAGTAGATAATACGAAATTACGTAAGAGTTCTAAATGAATACAAGAATTATTACGTAATTTCGTATTATCTACTTTGTTCCTATGTTTCTCCTGAGTAAAACTGATAGGATCCCACATATTTTGGTATTGACTGTTAATCTTGCATATATGGTATGTTATCATTCTCACACATTTTGGTATTGACTGTCAATCTCGCACATATGGTATATTATCATCTCTCACGCACTTTGTTATTGGCTATTAAGATCAATTATTTCAAATGTTGTTAGCTGTCCATATTGTTGTGAAATGTATAAATACCATGGCTTTCTTTGTCGTTGTTGCACTTCAATACACAGTCACAGTCCAGCCTTTGTCTTTTGATATTTGCGTGCTTTACTAAATCGGAAGGTACGACAAGCAAATAGGCAGATTAGTTCAGGCGCAGACAGAGCAAGGTGAAAACGTCTTCATTGAATTCCCTACAGTTATAACAAAAACTCACTCATCTAACTATTCATATTATTATTACATAACTGTTTGTGACAATTCATCACCTTTGTTACTACCCTAATTTCATTAACACCTAATTTTCTTGACCCGTATTACCAACCTTCACCTGTTTAGTTAAAATAATCATAACCGATTGTAATTTTGTTTGACAAACTTAATGTACACATACATACAAAATAACACATGTATATTTGCAATGGTACAGCTAAGAAAATGAATTCGCCGAAAAGAGTCTCTTCGCGGATCTACGTGTTTTGTTTTCATTAATGCCTGGATCGAGATTATCCGTGAAGTTTTTTATTGGTTAATGAAGGGGAACTTACTGAATGAAGGAGAAATATTTCTTCTCAGACTATGACTTTAAAGCAGTTTCTCTGCATACATCTTTATAGCAAGTCGAAATAAATAGCCATGTACATACATATATATCCGTTAGTGAGGAGGGAATCAATTACATAGAAAGTTGTGATGTAGGAATGTCTTTTATAACGTCAAGGAATGTGCTGTTTACTGAGGTATTTTATTCACTTTTCACTTAAATATTATATTACAGTGTTTTTTATTATGATTATATTTTATTTCTTCACGCTCCGAGTGGAACATAGGCCTTCAGGCTAGAGCTTTGAATTTTCCGTAGCGGTAGTCTTATTTTAACAAGTTTGGATTGCTAGTCTCACGCTCAACCTTCTCTAATAACTGATCTCTTAACTGAGTTAGAGAAGTTTAAGAGTGCATTGGTACCTAGGACCACATGAGGCATAGTTGGCGAGCGTTCTTTTAATGAACCATGGAGGTATAATTCTACTACTGGCTTGGCATCTGATAGATCTTGCATTAGGACTTTCACCGTTTACAGTTCTTGGGCACCAGATTCCTTTCCAGCAAGTGTGAGCTAAGCGTCTTACGTTCGATATTTGGTGAGGTAATGAGTGCATATTACTGAAGAGTCACAACCAGTGATGCCTGATTTTCATTTTTATCCAATCGGTGTTGTTCCATTGTGAATACTGCCTTGGATTCACGTACACACACACTTTTAGAGTGATATCAAAATTCTACTAGCGAAAGCATTCCAGTAAGAATTCTGCTTCTTTTAGATTTTTCAGATGTTAACTAACACTCACTGTTCACTTTATATCAGCATCAAAATTGAAGTGGGAAGAGAAACCTCCACTGTGGGGGAGTCCATTTCATAGTAGTCAGCTTTATCGTCAAGCTCCAGTAAATAATACTGTACCATTTTGTGCTTATATCAAGTGAAATCATTCTATGGTAACTGTGTGTTTAAAAAGCTTAAAACATTTCTTTCCATGGGTAAATTTGTTATATACACAGAGGTTAGGACTCTCGCGATCATGCACATGGTCCGGGACTCGATTCCCTGCCGATGCACACCTGCTATCAATGGTCGACCTGTAAAATTTGGGCTACTGATATCACATGCTGCAAATTCCATACCTGTACGAAAAATACGGTGTGGAATCAAGCTGAAATCAAAATTTAAAAATTAAAAATATTAGATTAATATATCTCTTTCATTCTGTGTCGATATGATTTACATTAACTAATTTAAACTGTTTCTAAAAAATAATATCTGCTAAGTGATGCTGGATCGATATTTAGTTAGTTGATTGATTTCTACTTTTTTAAATCTCTCTGTATATATAGGTATTGTGACATTATTGTGAATGCTATTATTAACTATCGCTTCGAGACAGTGAAAGCCCTGTACTCAACAGTTTGTCGTCTTCCTTTCTTGTATCACTTGTCAGTAGTCTCACGCTGTGGTGGTTGTCGTTGCGAATATTGATTAGAACAGTAGGTCGGCAAATCTACTAGTTGTATTGATTGTCATATTAAAATTTCAAAAAATTACTCAGCTATTATTATTCATTCATAAATTTCGGCAGGACTCTTCAGCTGAATATTCTAAAACCTGGCTAGTTATGACACTTCATAAGTTTGACATGCTAACAACAAATAAGCATGGATTCCATTAAATGTGTGACAAATGAACTGCCACGGATAATCTTACTTGTCGAGTATTCAGTTAAACAATCCTACCTTAATATATTATTATATTATTTTTCCCTTGGGTTCCTATTGGAACATAGGATTTCAACTGCAAGTCTTCACTTGCTTCTGTCTTCTGCTTCACTTTTCATCTGCATCCATGTTAGTCAATACTCTTCCAACTCCTCTTCACACGATCTCCTCCATGTCACCCTTGCACTGACTTCACACTCGCCGCGTGCTTCCCTTTCCGGTTCCACCCGAGCAATGGCCTGACGCGCGGGCGATGTCACCCAGCGGCCTCCTCAGCGAGTGTCCATTCCATCTCCACCCACTTTCTCCTGCATATTTTTTGGTTGGCGATTGGTTCTTGTGTTGTTTGTTTGTTCCCATAGTTTCTTCTTGGTGATTCTTTCCGACCCGGCCTTCTGATCTTCAGTATGGAGTGAAGACAGTTGTTGATAAATGTCTGCAACAGACTGTCAGTGGAAATATTCTTTGTGACCCACCCGCCAAGTTTCTGATGCGTATAGAAGAACTGACTGACTTGACGTTTGTATTGAAAATCCGACTGGATTTTATTGTTGATGCTGAGTGACGAAGATTTCCAGATTGATTTCAGGTTGATGAGTGAATGTGTTTCTCACCTTCCTGATTCTCGATTTGACAGCCTCGTCCGTTCCTCCTTTGGCTGATACAATGCTTCCTAGATAGGTGAATGAAGTAACCTCTTTCAAATCCCTCCTGTTGATTGTGATTTACACTGTATGTTGCTGCTGCTGTTGTTGTTTTTGTTGGTTGGTTGGTTGGTTATTTTCATGACCTCCGTCATGTTCACCTATGTTCACCTGGAGTCCTCTCTTCGCCGGCTGCTTCTTCGACCAGTTTGTCGGTTTTCGCTTGTAATTCTTCGATTTTGTGTGACATGAAGCATAAATCATCCACGTGCGAAATCCAGTTCTTCTAGGTTCTACACGTTGGTCCAGGATTTACTTGAATATATGAATCCATAAAATACCTGTTTTTTCACAATTGTTAGTTGTCTTAAATATGTGGTTTATTGTTAATATTTTGGTGACTGGTACTTTCACTCTGATATATATATGTTTTGTTTGCATTTCTTTCGGCACATTAGAAACGTCAGTTACAATCAACAGTCATGTATCACTGAGAACCACGCCTAAGCCTCAGTCGAATCACCCAAAAGCCGACAGCAATAATATTCAGCTAGCACCGTCTTCAAATCTGCCAAAGACGAAGACAGACGAGAAACCGCAACAAGACTCACCATCACTTCAACAACAACAACAACACCAACAGCAACAACCTTCTCAACTAGTCAAGGTGGACTATAATAACAATGGTGGAAATAATCAATACGCTTGTCCAACTAGAACATGTCCAAATGACTTGAATCCTGCTTGTGATTCTGACGGTGTAATGTATGCAAATGACTGTCTGCTGAAAAAGTATTCATGTCGAAAATTCGGTAACTTGAGACCGGCTACAAGTTATATTTGTGATTCAAAATTTCAGAGGTGTAAGTTTATCTAAGACATAAATAATGCGAACTTTTCTTTATTATGCTTTTAGTTTTTTATACTTTTAATCAAGTATTCTTGATTGGAATAGTGTAACAGTTTACTTTGTATTGATAAAACACTGATAGAGGAGATTAGAAGCTCGTGAGTGGGGAGAAACGATGGTTGTATATTTGCAATGCAGTTATAGGGGATCTATCAGTCGCCACCAGTCCGCAAGTACGCCTTACTTAGGTGAGTACCAATGATCAGTGGGGATTCTCTCCCGGTAGAATTGATACAAAACTAAGAACTAAACCAATGGCAAATCAGTTCGTCAAACGGTGTCCTGCAGGGAGTCACATATAATCCAAGTAACTTTATGGTAACATTTACAGAGCCAATGGTTCACTGGTGGAATCCATGCCAACTACACAAGTGGCATGGATTCGATTCTCAGGTAACGTACTTCCTAACCCCCTTTGGCAGGTAGCTAGCCCGTTAAACAGGAAATGCTAAGCATGATGCTAGCGGTCCCACCCAGTAAGAAAAACTACTACTACCACTGGAACTTGGAAGCTCAACCGTGAAGGATGTATATTCCACTGGGGACACAAAAAATCAGAATGGTCTGTAGCAAGAGCATTGAGCGATGTGGGTGTGAGTCCTGAACGAAACATAACTTTCTTTCTAGCTAGCAGATATGTCTAGCTGACGTGTATCAATAAATTCAGAATCTACCTTAACAGACTACTGTTGATTGTCTCCAATGATTTAACAAACCGAATACTGATCGACAGCAAACTTTTGGGAGAATCCAAGTGCATTTTTCCATCTTCAGTCAATCTTTTTTTTTAACAGCTTGTGTAATTATCTATATATAGAATGATGTGATATAGTCCATATCCTTTTTAGTGTTATTTATATTTCGTTGCACACATTATACAAATAAATCTGCTGGACAGGTTGAATAATCAGTTGCACCTGTTACTTGCCAATTAAAGATGACATTTCATATTAATAATACATTAGGAGAAATTTAGATTTCCAACCTAATTACCTGCAGCTGTAGCGATAAGAGACTTAACCAATCAATAGGCTTTTTTTAAAGCCAATTAAATAATCGATATCTTAATTTTAAATATCCATATATATATATATATATATATTCTAAGCTATGACATTTTTTATTGTGATTTGTGGCTTTAACTCTGATGGAGTCAATAAAACACACAAAATGGCTTTTGTTTGTCGTTTACACCAAAATAGAATTTTATAACAAAAACGTTTCTACACTGATTTGGATAATGACTTTATACCCCCGGCAATGGTTACGTAACAATAGCAAAAGTAGTTGAAGCCTCTCAATTTGGCGATTTCTAAACAATAGCTTATGAGGGGGATATATTAAAGCCTAACTTTCATAGCCTATCTTTGTGCAGACAGTCAATGGAGAGAGACAAAAACTGTAGAAGCCACCATTTAACACAGTAGTTTGACTTATTATATTATTATTATAACCTTTAATTGCTAGAGGAACATGGGCTTCAGCTGCGCATCTCCATTGCCTTCGGTTTTCCGCCAACTTTTTCACCCCTCTCCAAGTCTGCCTACATGCTTTCATCTCCTCTTCATATGACCTCCCGCAAGTCACCCTTGCACTGACGACCAACTCGCCGCTTCCCTTTCGGGTTCCCCTCGAGCGATGGCTTGTCTAGTGATATCACTTGATAGTTTCCTTAGTGTATGGCCAATCCATCTCCATTTCTTCCTGCCTATTTGTTTCACAATCGGTTCCTGGTTGGTTCGCTCCCAGAGATCTCACACGGTCGCTGATCTTTTCTGGCCATCTAATCTTGAGTATTGACCGGAGACAACTGTTAATGAAGGTCTGAAGTTTGTTTGAGATGCTCTTTATGACGCGCTGGCCAGGTCCCTGATCCGTATAGTAGCACTGGCTGACTTCACAATGGAGTTGAAAATTTTGATCTTGTTTTGGATGCTGAGTGCTGTTGACCTCCAAACAGACTTAAGAGTAATGAAAGCTTGTCTTGCTTTTCAGATTCCGGCCTTGATATCCTCATCAGTTCCGTCCTCCTGTAGTGGGAAGCAGTGACGAGTAGAGTACAGCAAGTTGAAGGCGAGACAATAACTCATGAAAGAAGATATAAGTATAACACTTGAGCACTGTGGTAGAGTATAACTCAATTATGGATAAGATTTTATTTTGATAAATCATTGTTGTACAGTAATATTAACTGTACAACAGTAGTATTACTGTACAACACTGTGATTTATCATGGAAGAAGACATTGCGAAATAGTCGCGCTATGTCGTGAATTGGCAGAAGTTAGAATTCAAATGCTGAGCATTGGATCGGGTTCCAGTGGTTCAATGGTCTTTGAGCTCGTCTTGTAACCAGAAGGTGTTGCGTACTGATGAACAGTCCCAAACTAGGATGAAATGGCTGTCCAGTACTTCCAGGTTTTCCAGTGATTCTCTAACTGTAGTAAGCTAATGATGAAGTCCTCCAACTAATATGTAATTGTCACATCAAATTTACACCAACCATGTGTCAGTTTAAAGGTATAGGAGGAATGAAAACGTTCACCATTTGGTTTTTGCGATGAATTGATTGGCTACAGGTTCGACCATTAGCTGACGTCAGTTGGAGATCCATTGGGAAACCAAGCGGTATTAATAGGCTGTCTCATCCTAGTTGTGAACTATTCTGCACTACGCAACTACTGGGACTCGAAACCTAGGACCTTTCAGATACAAGGCGAGCTCGTAGAATATTCAGTCACACTGATCCAATCCAGCGGCCCATGAATTTCATCTTCGTCCAACTCGCTAAATATTTTGACCTAACACCAACCAATTTCATAAGCGAGTAACTGTTCTCTTACCTAACTTGCTGGAACCCACTGGTTACGACTGCTGACTAGAACTCCAGTTAACTTCCTGCATGGAGCCAGCCGCTAGTGAGCATCAGAATAATTATCTAGAAAAGGTTTGCAGGTATTTGATTGGTTACAGTTGTGAATACGAGGCGGTGACACTCGATGGTGGTTGAGCTATATATATATATATATATATATATCGCACATTGGCAGAAGTTGGATATCATAGGCTATTACATCAAGTCACAGTGACTGAATGGCATAAGAATGAGCCTTATAGCAGCAATTTCTTGCGTTCGAACCCCACACGAATTGTGCATCCCGGAATCCAGTGTTATACATCGTTATGCTCAAAAACGAACCGTTATGATGTGAAGACAGGAAACCGATCTCCGCATCATACTGTATACCTGTTCAAAACTTCCTTCAGAGGTGCACGGTCACAAAACTCACAAACCACAGCTAAAAGATAGCTATTCGTCGTTACACCAATACTTATATTGAACAACAGTGACACCAAAGACTCCAAATCACCCCGACACTACCGTTAGGCAGCTATACAGTCAAGAGTACTTTCTATTACAAAGCAAGTTTAGTAGAACGAAATTCTTTTTTCCTTCACGTTCCCCAGTGGAACATAGGGCTTCAAGCTAGTGGTTTGGAGTTTCTGTAGCAGTCTTTATTTTACAGGATGGGACTGTTAGCCTCATGCTCAACCTTTCCTCTTTACCAGCATTATTTCTGGCCTAGCGAGATAAGGGAGTTCGTCGGCCGGCGATCGAACCCCGGACCATGTGCATGGTCGGCGAGCGTCCTAACCGCTATGCCACCGACGCACACAGGACAGAATTAGTTAACCAAAATTCAGATGTAAGAAGTACATAAGAATTAAGCAGCATATTCACAACAAGGTGACATCAAAAACTCTATCCACAAGAATCACATACCAGCGCTTCCTGCAAACAGTCCAAGGTTATGAATCACCCTGACTAACTCAAACAAAATGACATCATAAAACGACATATTATTACTTTTATCACACACACACTTTCACAGAGAAGTCATGAAATTAGAGACCAAATAGGAACAAAGACTAATAATAAGGATTAAGTCAACATATGATACGCAATTGCCGGAATAATGACATACACTAGTGTAGGCGAGTATTTGTCCTCACACCCGACTAGCTGCACCCTACTGGTCACGACTTCTCACTATAACCACAGGTAACTACCTACCAGAATGGGGCAAGTCGCTAGTAAGTACTCTTGAATATCAATGAGATGCTCACTAACGACTTGCCCCATCCTGGTTGGTAGTTACCTGTGGTTCTAGTGAGAAGTCGTGACCAGTAGGGTGCAGCTAGTTGGGTGTGAGGACAAATACTCGCCGTAGACATTGGCTAGCGGTTGCGCTATGTCGTGAATTGGCAGAAGTCAGAATTCGTGGGCCATTGGATTGGGTCCCAGTGGCTTAATCATCTATGAGCTAGCTTGCCTTGTGACCAGAAGGTCCTAGGTTCGAATCCCGGTGGCTGCGTACATCTATTTTAGCTGTGTTTCATACAGACAGTTCCCTTTGTTATTTTGAACAAAAAAAGAATGAATTAATTTGCAGGATAATACGAGCTCATCTCATTTCGTGGATTCTCTTCAGCTGCCTACATCCTAAACAAAATCCAATTACAAGTCGAAAAAATGTTTCAACATACATTTTACCACGGCTTCGAGGTATAAATAGAAAGTGTAAGCAACGTCATTCTAAAAAATGATATGAGTAGACTAAGTATTCAGTGTTAAAAGACCAACTACTTAAAGTCAAATTAAACAGGAGGGTGGAACGGAGTTACGATATCGCTTGAAAATAAAGACTGATTAGAGACGAATTTCGAGATCGAACAAGTTAGTGAATTTATGTATTACACTTTACGGTACTGTATGCTCGTTAACGTATTCACAAGTAGATAAGTATCCTGTTCGTATCAAATACAACTGCATTTATCAATTTATCTGCACCTGAGTCAGCAAGTACATACAAAGGACTGAGAGGAGAGCGTCTACTAGGTTCTCTTAGCATATCCCTAAGTATGCGTATGCAAAATAGGTAAACGTTTTCAT